AAAAAAAAAATGAATATGAGTTTTATTGTGCTTCAAGTTTCAACTTTCAAGAACTATATATAAGGACTCCACAAATATACAAAGGTTTGACAATGACTCCCTAATCCTAGGCTAACGACTCCTATACCTCGTGGCATGTATTTCCTATGAAACGTGGCCTCGACGCAAATACAAGGAAAAGGCCACGCTATGATTCGATAAACAAGTAAAAAGGAGGAAAATGTGAAAAAAAAAAAAATATGCTCTCAAGTGTTAGGAAACTAAATTTTCAGTAAGGAAAGTTTCCCGTTTCCCTCATGTGGTCGAGGGTTCTCTGCAAGCCGAATTTCTGCACAGCCTGATTACCAGTCCTAAAACCTTGTCCATACACAATAGATGTATCGGTCGCAATCTGGTGTTTGAAAAACACGCTGAGTTTCTTCTCGAACGGTGATCTTGCTCCTTGTCTTGAAGTCGAGGCATATGATGATGATGATGAGGTGGAAGCATTTTCATCATCAGACATGAACAGAATCTGAGATTCCAGCCACATGCAGGCAATGACCTGGCAGATTCCTTCTTCGACGTCTTGTCTGAGAGTTCGATAACCTTTTCGAGAATGAATAAGTGTTAGTTAAGCTTTTGCAACAAATTGTCAAATACTACCTTATCATTCCTACTCGTGAATGCATATAATACTATGTAACCAAATAATCTTCTTGATTGTAAAAATTGCATATACTTACACCAGCAACTACTAATTCTCTTAATTATTCATACATCACTGAAAAAAGTTTCAGATGAATATACTATTTAAATCGAAATCAATTTTTTTAAAGGATAGCAAACGAGATATAGATGCTGTGTCATAATAATTAAATAAGGGGATTTCCAAATCAAGTTATCAAGTCGACACTTTCTTTATATATATGCATTTCTGTGTGTTTGAGTAGCTTGCAATGAACTCTATGATATAGTTTGTGCTGCTTTTTCACACAATTCGAAAATTATACGGGAAAATAGTGGAATAGAGATTAGCCTTAAGAACGCACCATTAAGTCGTAGCCAGGCATGCATCATCTCATGAGCCAAAATTGATCCAGTCAGCAACCTGAAAGCATAAAACCAATTAAAAGGGAGAAAACTGTTCGGCCTAACTATAACAAAACGCCAGTTATCATTTCACAAATACAATTACAAAAAATCCTTTAGCAAGTCGTGTTGATTATAAAAATTACCACCGTCTCCAAGTGTAATTAGTAAGAGAGAAACAAACATCGAAGGGGCGCATTTAGCAATTTTGGAATATATCTGGGGCATATTGAAGTTAAGTTGAACCTCAGGGATGGTCCCCGTAATAAACCGTAAATTAGAAGTACCTTGGAAGACCATACAAAATGAGGATGGCTGTCACTTCACAATGTCTAGTTAATTTATAAGGCTCTGTTCTCATGCCCATTGCTCGATTTCCTCCACCTGTCCTGGGTCTCCTCAGTATCTGGTGACCCGTTATTGCAAAATAAGAGTTAAATCAATCCAGAAGTAGTAAAATCTCAACAGAATTGGAACTTTCCAAAGAGATGAGGCTCGTAAATTAGAATCGGTAAATAGGTCTTACAGTGCTGATTGTTTGTTCCTCCGAGAGACAAAGACCCCTCGTCTCAGGCATGTGATGATGCCCCTGTAATTTACGAGTATTTATTTCTGGAATTAATCACCTTATAACACGGACATTTTTCAATTTTCACAATTTTAGTTCAATCTTAAATAGTTGTTTTCTCAAAAAAGTTGCTCTTTCTGTAATTCTTTATTCTTCAAAGGTAGTCAAACCGAAGTTTAGAGTAATTAATAAAAGAAAAGAAAAAATGGTAATTTACTTCAATAAAAAAAAAAAAA